TAATGCACACAACTCCCAAAAATGATCTCCAGTGCCGAGGGGAGCACACATGAGCGCTAGTGTACTTTGTCCCATGTCATGAAGCTAAATGTCTGTACGCTGAATGACATTTTTAGGCAAGGTTTGAAAATTAATGAGGTCTGGAGGTTGTTCAATAATGCTATGTTAGTAGCTACAGATAAAGGCTCAATCCCAATTCTATTTTTGAACCCCTATACCTTCCCCTTCCCCTTGGCCCTTGCCAAGTGCAAAGGGGAAGGGCTTCAAAATGTACCCCTAAGAAATGGAACAGCACTACAGCACCTGCACACGTCATCATGTCATTGCAATCTCTTGCTTCATATGAGATTGACGATCGTGACTGCTGTAGTTATTCCAGTTGCGTTATTTTTTGGTGGTTTTCTTCAGGAAATCACTGAAGGCAACAATATTATGTTATCATAACAATATAATGTGGCAATAAGATCATAACTATACTTTGCATTTACACCATGGCCATATTCATCTATGTAAACACACAAAACAATATTAACATTATAGCAGACACTGTAAATAGGGATTTTCCAGCCACTAAATTTTTCTGACAGGGTATTTGAGTGTCATCGAGCGACAGAATGTTGTGGAACTGCTGTACAGGAGTTATGATTATGGATTATAGTTAGTGAAACTTGGCAGGTTTTATTTTAGTGTTTTTATTTAAAGCATGACGGTAAAACACAAATGCGGTTATGCATATATTTTAACATATGCTTGTTTGTTGTAGAAATTCATAATAATGACAGAAAAAAAACTAATTTGTGGATCTCATTACTTCCATGTGCAGCTATACTGCTGCTGTTGTTGATGTATTCTGGGCAATTTTCTTACCCCTTGGTTTCCAGTGTGGTCCTGAAAAATCTCAGTTTCAAGGGCTATCTAGCCTTTCCTCTTAGCCCTACGCTGACAAGCTAAATAGAATTGGGACACCCCTACTCCTCGACGTGAACGTGCAAAATGAGGGGTATTGGTAAAGATAAGAGAAAGGGGCAGAATTGGGATTGGGCCATAAAATATATGCAACGTTTTGTTTTCATGCAGGTGTATAAATGATGAGATGAATGACAATTTATTTTTAGAATTATATAAATGTTTAACAATTCATTTATTAGAAAACTGTTATTAGCATATGCTTTCCGAATTCCCTTCCAGCTGCATCCCAGTACTGGGAAACATCCATACACACTCATTCACACACATACACTGCAGCCAATTTAGTTGATTCAATTCACCAACAGCACATGTCTAGTTTTCATATATATATATATATATATATATATATATATATATATATATATATATATATATATATATATATATATATAGTTGAAGTCAGAATTATTAGCCCCCTTTTGATTTTTTTCTTCTTGTTTAAATATTTCCCAAATGATTTTTAACAGAGCAAGGGAATTTTCACAGTATGTCTGATAATATTTTTTCTTCTGGAAAAAGTCTTATTTGTTTTACTTCGGCTAGAATAAAAACAGTTATTAATTTTTTTAAAAACATTTTTGGGACTAAATTATTAGCCCCTTTAAGCAAATTTTTTTTTTCTCGATAGTCTACAGAGCAAACCATCGTTTTACAATAACTTGCCTAATTACCCTAACCTGCGTAGTAACCTAATTAACCAATAAATAACCAATAAATCAGTTATTAGAAATAGGTTTTTAAAACTATTATGCTTAGAAATGTGCTGAAACAATCTTCCCTCCATTAAACAGAAATTGGGGAAAAAAATAAACTGGGGTGCAAATAATTCAGAGGGGCTAATAATTCTGATTTCAACTGTATATATATATCGGCTATCGTCCTCCAAGTCTGAAGAGTTATTGGTTATCGATATCGGCCAAAAAATCCATATCGGTGCATCACTATTCTCATCCCTTTTTTACTGATCCAAAAAATTATCCGATCCGTGACTCAAAAACCGTAGTGTGATCGGAACCATGAAGGCCCGTGCACACCGAGACGTTTTTTGCTCACGTTTTCAGTCGAAGTTTAACGCTTTGTGACTAAATAAAAGGCGTCAATGTGATCGCTTACACCAATGTGCAAAACGCTAGACAAAAAAAAGCCTTTTTTTTTTTGCTTTGAAGCGCCATGTCAAAACTTTTGTTCATGTGCACAGAGCTGCTAAAGTTACAGTAAACAGCACTTGGAGGCACTCCATCGCAAAACTGTCAATGCGAGCGCACATTGAAGAAGATGGCCAGAGGTGATATGAACGTGGATCTGCTTATTGCTCTGGTGAACAATAATCATTTCTTCATCGCTAGAGCTGCTACTTAAACCATCCATAACAACAAGTGTGTCAACTTTCTCTTCTTTTTTCTTTTTGTTACAAGCAGGTGTCAGAAGCTTAAAGTTGTGTAGCGCCATCTAACATGAAGGAGTGATTTTGCATACTCTTCTGCTCAACGCCAGTAAAAGTCACTTGGGTTGGAATCCGGAAAAACGTCATAAAAAACGCTGACGATTAACGCAAACGAAGTGTCCCGGTGTGTATGAGCCTTGAGATTTGTGATCCGTTACACCACTAATATGATGTACAAACTGACATCAGTCTTTAATAAAGCTGTCAAAATAGACAGCATCCAAATAATCTACTTTACAATGTGCTCCATTATGTTAGCTGAATTGGTCACATGACATCATCAATGGCTAAAATGCGTCAGCGTTTTCGAAAGCCTCTCTTTTCAAGGCCTTTTAAAACAAATAGGTATTATTGTAGACATGGTCTTAATTGGCAGCTTTGAAGTGTTAGCTGAACCTTAGTTTGACACTTGACGGTTTCATATAGAGAAACAGATGACTGTGGAAGTCTGCGAGAGGCTTTGTTTGTCTCGTTTCTCTGATGCTGCAGATAATGGTTTGACGGTGCAGTTCTTTATGCTGTGGTTCCAGGCCGGTTTTCTGTCGTTGAGCAGCTTGGCAAGAGAGGATGAATGAAGTGAAAAGTATCAATTTGACAGAAAGACTTCAGTAATTAATCCTCTCTCACTCTATTCCCTGAGTCATCTCATCATGTGTTCCCACATCAATCCGTCTTTCATTTCAAAAACACTTCATTTTTAGTGTGAAATACATTACAAAGACCAAAAGCAAAACAAAGCAAAGCATACACTGCAACATAAGCGTGTCGTTTTGGGGTTTTAGGTGTAAATCAGATCATTTAACATTCTGGACAATAGGTAACATGGTAAAAGGCTAATTCACACTCAACATTTAAATGACCTCATTATAAACCTTTATGAAAATGCTGGTTCCCACTGACTTCCATGAAAAATTGTTACAATAATAATAATAATTTGGAAGTCAATGAGTGCAGCAACCAGCATTTTTCAAAATATCTTCTTTTTGTTCAACAGAAGAAAGAAACTCAAATAGATTTTAAACAAGCAGAGAGAGAGTAAATGATCATTTTTTGGGTGAACTATTTCTTTAGATCTAATGTAGATATCATATATTAGCAAGACATAATATTTATAGTTCATGTTTATTGGCAGACCTGCACATTAGCTGAATGTGCTGTAGTTTGACACACTTCCCAGCTAATATTTACAATTTAAAATGATTAGTAATGATTAGTAGCCTTATTATATTTAAGTATTTATTAGTAAGTTACAGCTATAAATACAGGTTTATGATATATAAAGTTTTACTACTTTTGTAGTCTAAAAATAGAAAAACATCTAAAGATTTTATGAGAAAAAGTAGATTTTGAATTAATATGAATATAATCACAATAATAATAATAATATTAATAATAATAATAATAATAATAATAATAAAAGTCCTGCGAAGGAGCTCCAGAAAATACTTTTGTATTGTTATATAAATAAATAAATAAATAAATAGCAGGTTGAGCAGGTATCCGAAACAGATGCCCAAGCCACCTCGGCTGATTTCTCTCAATGTGGAGGAGCAGCAGCTCTACTCAGAGCTCCTCACCCTATCTATAGGTGTGTGCCCTGTCACCCTGCGAAGGAAACTAATTTCGGCCGCTTGTATCTGAGATCTTGTCCTTTCGACCCAAAGCCCATGACCATATGTGAAAGTAGAAATGTAGATTGACTGGTAAATCGAGAGCTTTGCCATTCGTCTTAGCTCCTTCTTTACCTCAATGGACCAGTACATCGACCGCATTACTGCTGCTGTAGTGACCTGCCTGTCAATCTCACGTTCCATGCTTCCCTCACTTGTGAACAAAACTGCAAGATACTTGCAACATTAAATAAATAAATAAATAAATAAATAAGTAAATAATAATAATAATAATAATAATAATAATAATAATAATAATAATAATAATAATAATAATAATAATAATAATAATTGTTACGGTCTTTTTGGGTCTAGGGATGTGACCGCAACAGAAAATAAATGATTGGTGGTGGATGATGTGCAATTATTATTTTAATAATAATAATAATAATAATAATAATAATAATAATAATAATAATAATAATAAGTCCTGCTAAGGAGCTCCAGATCCATACTTTTGTATTGTTATACAAATAAATAAATAAATAAATAAATAAATAAATAAATAAAGTAATAAAATATTACAACTACTAAACAACAATAATACAATACAATACAGTATATAACAATGAATTAATAGAAACTATTATTTTTAGCACTTTAAAATGAATTACTACTTATAGGAAATATTTTAAAAAGTATGCATGTATAAATACAAAGCCAATCTAGTGTAAGCGGACACAGTGGCTATAATACATAAGTAAATTTACATATGCAAATTACACTGCAACATTGAGAAGAATGCATTTTAATATTATACAGGCTCTAAAATTTTATTAAATTAAATGCTGAGGATTCAAGTAAATCATGTAACTGTTTTTTAACAAACAAAATAGATTGTAGGATGCAATAAAAAAGGTGAACGATAAAAAAAGAAAGCATGTGTGTGACGTCTGCGAATGTGTGCTGACAACATCTATCCTCTAGATGGTAGTAGAGACTCAACACTACAAACACCAGCTTTGATAAATGAGTCAGAACAACCTGCGATGTCTTCAGGCTAACCTTGAGCTGCTGATAACAAAAATGCCCTTATATTTATCAATGCATGCATCCATAAATATGTATACCTTACCTATATGAGGTAAAGTTGTCGTAGGAGCCCACAGTGTAATGTCTGAACAGCCTCTTGTTTCGATCCTCTCTCGTCTCTGAAAGAAAAAACACAACATCACACACATTAACATGCATCGTCGTAATAGACCACATTTATCATTTTCAAGCTGCTTATCATATTTGCATTACATTTCCGAGCCGACCGCATGTCTCTCATCAGCCTTATGCAGAAATGTGTGTGCAGAAACCAAGACAGGCTTAATTAAATGCAGAGGCAAGGTCAATTGTATATATTTGTGTGTATGTGTGTGTGTGTGTGTGTGTGTTGTTAATCCAGTGAGAAGGTCTGGCTAATAGGCCTGGTGTCTCAAGCCAGACCAGATTTATGTGATTGGACTTTCAGCTGGAAATCAATGCACTGCTTCCCCTACAGAAAGCCGATCTGCTGACACACGTACACACACACATTCACACACCTACACTGTAAAAAAAAAAAAGAAAAATCTGTAAAATTGATGGTAAAATAAGCGTAAGATATGGTTGCTGGAATGTAACCATTAAAATATGGGAGAAACGTAAAATAAATTAATTTGTTCATTTTCCTTCAGCTTAGTCCCTTATATATCATAGGTCACCACAGTGAAATGAACCGCCAACTATTCTGGCATATGTTTTACACAGAGGATGGCCTTCCAGCCACAACCCAGTACTGGGAAACATCCATACATTCTCACATTCACATACTCATTCACTACGGCCAATTTAGTTTACCCAATTCACCTATGGCGCATGCCTTTGTGTTGGGGAAACCGGAGCACCCAGAGGAAACCCATGCCAACACGGGGAGAACATGCAAACTCTACACAGAAATGCCAACTGGCCCAGCCGGGACTCAAACTAGCGACAGTACTAACCACTGAGTCACCGTGCCGCCCTGCAATTTATTTTTTTTTTTACTGTAATTTACTTTTTTTTTTGTCATTTACCAATGTTTTGAAGTACTAAAATCTACACAACATAACTGTGTAACAGACAAAAATACAATCATAAGCATGTGTATATGAGAAAGTCATATTATGAAACAAATCTTATCCCAAATATTTTATTTACGAGCAGAGAAACATATTAATACATACTGTTGAAGACGCTACCAAACACAATTATGGCAACACACATCAACTAAAAGTAATGCAATAAACATTATTTCAAGAGTTCACACTTAGCTGATTAAAGCTTGTTTGGCATGTTGTCCCAGGAGAGAGCCCGGAGCTCATAAAATCCTCGAGCCCGGGGCTTCCTCCCGTGTTCAAGGCGAGAGGGGAGTTTGACCTGAGGTAGATATCGAGATCTCCCCTGCTGTAGCTGCTAATGAACAGATAGTGATTGCTCTTAAGAGATAACTACTTACTAGGTGCATGTCTATGGTGCTGATTTGTCAATAACTTAAGTTGCATGTTTTTGGGCGGTGGGAGGAAACAGGGGAATCCAGGGGAAACCCACGTGAGCACTTGTAAACTCTGTACAGAAACGTCAACTGGCTTGGTAAGGAATAGAACCAGTGACGTTCTTGCTGTGAGGCAACAGTGCAAACCACTGGGCCACCGAGCCACCCATTTAGGAAAGGAGGAGTAGGGATAGAAGAGGATACTGTTATATGGAACTTTGGGTATTTATAGTGCTTAGGAGTCGTCTGATTGGTGAATCATGAATTGAATAATGCGGGACAGACTGCAAGCAATCATAATCATAAGATCCTATCAAAATTAGTTTAGAAATAAACTTCAGTAATCAATGTTAGATGCAACACACAGAATGCTGCCCAAAGTAAAAAAAAAAAAAAAACATGAAGCAATTAAGTTAACTTAGTTTTTAAAAATGTTTTTTTTACAAATTTAGGTGGATTGAAAATAAAACAATTAAGTTGTCTCCCCCCAAAAAATCTCAAGAATTGTGTTGATTCAGCTCATTTTAAAGAAGTAGTTCGAACAAAGAGCAAATGTCATTTTTTTAAATGCACAAAGCTCAAATGTACATAACTCGAGAAAAATAAAAAGAACCACAGTAATCTCAACAAAAAGACATAAAAAGTGGCACAAGTGCCACTTTAAGCTGCCATCCCTAAAAAAAGCCTTTTAAAGAAAGTATTAAATATGTGTCAGTAGTGTGCCACTAATGTGTAATGTGCCACTTCCTTGTGTCATTTCATTGTTATTACACAGAAACAGTAATTTCTGTTTTTTTTGTTTTATTTTTATGTTTGTATCTTTTGGGTTTTTACCAAAATCTGTTTCGATTCCACATCAACAGCTCCTTTAGAATTATTATTCCCAGGAAAAAACATGACGTGTTCAATACTAATTTTCCCCGCTGCATATTAAGGAAACTTACTGTTGAAGTCCATTTACACAAAGCATGTTAGGATAACAATAGTTCTAAAAATAATTCACGGTGTTAAAGAATAGCGTAGTTCATACCACATGTAGAATGATAAAGATACAGAGGAACGATATCCTTGGGATTAATTTTAGACTGATTTTTGACAGCCATTTAGAATCTATTGCAAATTAAATGGCTCGCGCACTACAGGGAAACAGCTTGATGTTAAGCCTTCTTTTAAAAAATTAACTAACGATAACGTCTTTTATAGAAAAAAATGGTTATAACATGGTAAATAAGGATAAAAAAGTGAATGGAAGTTATGAAAGTCACACTGGCAAACCGAAGTATAAAAATAAAAGTAGACCAGTAATTCAGCACTAGTTTCTGTGTCCTTCTTTAAATATGCTGCAAACCTGATTACGATTGCTAAATTCACTGTTTGATTAGATTGTTTTCATGGGCCATTAGTCTAGTCGTGGATTTTTACTGTAGCATTTTTACAGTTAAACTTCGCTGAAGACTCCTTTTTCACAGTGTAGAGAATCTTGCAAACATTTCCTGGCAAGAAAAGAGACAGTCAAACGCATGCATTTCATTGCTGGATGCATCGGGGATTGTGTCGCAGCGGTTATTGAATTAAACTTTGCTCTCCGTGTTATTGAATTCAACATGTCTTCCTCTCTCTCTTCTCTCTCTCCCCTTAATAAACTCTGTGACCCAGTTGCTCTGGTCTGATTACTAATGCATATTTCCTCTGTCTTTTTATTTCCGTCCCCTGTCTGCACTTTTCTTCCAGTGTCGTACTCTAGTATTCTCTCTGTACACGTCTGAGCTTTTGCAGTCTGCTGTGTGGGAGATTATGCTTCCAATAGTGGTTATAGAGGTATTATTATCATTAATCAAATGTTTCAGTGATGATTTGAAATTTTGACGACAATAAATAATTGTTGGCGTGGGTTTCCTCTGGGTGCTCTGGTTTCCCCCAGAGTCCAAAGACATGTGATATAGGTGAATTGGATGAACTAAGGGTGCTTTCACACCTGCCTTATTTAGTACAGTTGAACCACATTAGAGTTCTTTTCCCTCTTGGTGAGGTTCGTTTGGACAGGTGTGAATGTAGCAATCGCACTTCAGTGCACACCAAAAGCAGACCAAAAAAGAATATCGAGATCTACTTGAAGAGGTGGTCGCGGTATGCTTTTAAACTAACCCTGGAGTAGTCCGTTTATGGTGAGAACATAATCCGAACTAAAACAGACCCAACCGCAAAAAGCGCCTTTTTGGACTAATACAGGGGGAGGGGAAAACATTACCTGATGGATCAATGGTGATATTTCCGGAAGATGACCATGTTAGATAAATTAATTCAAGCCTCCCGAAGTGACCTGCTATGCACCTTTGCCGTTTGCACTGCCTTAAAACAGGAGTCATTAATCTCGCTTCCGGAGGTCCGGTGCCCTGCATGGTTTAGCTTCAACTTGCCTTAACACACCTGCCTGGGTGTTTAAAGTATACCTAAGGTACCTTGATTAGCTGGTTCAGGTGTGTTTGATTAAGGTTGGAGCTAAAATCTGCAGGACACCGGACCTCCAGGAACAAGTTTGGGTGATCTCTCCCTTAAAACATTGTTTTTCAGCTGCAGCCGCGCTTCATTTTCAAAACGTATAGTTTGTCTAAAGTGATGTAAACAAACTATATAGTTTACTATGAGCAGGGATACAATCAGCCAGCGCAGATGTAGCTCTATAGTCAAAAGCGACAGGTTGTGTCTGCTGGTTTGTTTACTTGCAGGAGCTCCATTGGCAGTTTCCCGCACATGAATTCGGACCAATCAAAAAGCAGTTTAGGTAACACATTCAATAACATCTGGCCAATGAGCGATGTGGATTTTGTCAGATGACTGCATTTTGGTTCTTTTCAACTGGTTCGGACCAAAGCAATCAGTGAGGTGTGAAAAGAACCCAAAGACGGCAGAAAATGCAACAATGTATCATTTATTACCCTTGATCCAGACCAAATGAACCGAACCACAAATGTGAAAGCACACAAAATTGGGAGTAGTGTAAGGGTGTGTGTGCGTGCGCGTCGTGTGTGTGTGTATGAATGTGAGCATGGGTGTTTCTCAGTACTGCATTTGCTTGTGTAAAATATATTGGTGGTTCATTTCGCTGAGGTGATCCCTGATAAACAAGAGACTAAGCCAAAAGAAAATGAATGAATGACTGACTGAAAGTTGACATATTGACATATACAGTAACAATAAACATGTTATGGAACAATATGGACAAGTACAATTTGGACAAAACCAATCACTTGTGCCAACAATAGGGGTTGAAAGAGTGCAATTATGATTCATTAATGTTTCCTTGATCTGAAATTTCAAGAAAAAAAATAATAATATAAATGCTCTTATTTATGGCCATGAATTAAACTTAATGCCTTTATAATGTAGTAAAGAATATGCTTTAGTATATACTATATAGTATAAAAAATATATTTATATATATTAATAAATATATGCAAAATTACGGTCAAGTATGACAAGGTGGCTCAGTGGTTAGCACTGTCGCTACACAGTAAGAAAGTTGCTGGTTTGAGTTCTGGCTAAGTAAGTTGGCATTTCTGTGTGGAGTTTGCATGTTCTCCCCATGTTGGTGTGGGTTTCCTCCAGGTGGTCCAGTTTTCCCCACAGTCCAAAGACATGCACAACAGATGA